GCACAGCACCCCATCACAAGCAAATATAGTACAACACGCCTTTCCAAATGATGTGTATTGAAGGTTTGCCACAGGGTTTGAAAGGTCGCACATTTGAGTCCGGTCATTGCAGTTTGTCCTGCAAACATGTCCTAAACACACTGAGCTCCTACCTGCCTCAGTGTCCCTCTGGATACAAGCATCAGCTACATGTCTTATGTGTAAATGAGTGCGCTCATCTCGGCAGTACATGCTGTTCAGTCCAATCACCACACTTAAAGGTTATATATACAAAATTCACTTGCAGCACCAAAACCATCTTTTTTATTCTTCTCACAGTCCAACAATCACCAACGCTGGTTTAGTTGGAAATAAACACTTAATTCAGAGTTAGATGCAAAAATATTCCTGACAGATAAGGACCAATGCACAAGACCAAGTACATCAGCTATAAGTTGTTGCTTTTGCCACTTACAGTTTCTATTTGTTATTTTAAGTGTCTGACAACATTACAAGAAGGATCCTTACAGAGGCCGACCTTTAGTTTACAGCTTTAATAACGCTATCTCTTGTCAGACTCCATACACAATGAAATGGTCATTTTAACCTGCATATCATTGTAACATCATAACCTCATTCAAAGTGGACAGAAACATATTTTTTAGTCTTTCCATTGTTCCAACAATCACCAACTCTGGTTTGGTGGAAATAAATCCTTAATTCACCGACGTAGATGATAAAAACAGCAGTTTCAGTCGGAGCAGACCGGCTATGGAAACAAAGCACAGAGAGGCTGCGATACAACACAGGCAGAGGGAGAGAGACAACATGTGACTCTGTATCTATATATCTAGATATAATAGTTGTTTGCTGATATATTAATGTTCTAAATCTCATATAGATAACCTTTAACAGTTAATTAGCAAACATAAATACTTCATAAAGCATGAACTTTGTTAAAGTTGTTGGCATTAACCGTTACATTTCTGCTAAAGCAAATTCCTGCTGATTAATTTCACATTAATTAGCTATTTAAAAGACCAGGGTTGATCAATCTATCTGTTATATCTTCTTTAGCAGAGGATGAGAGGCAAGGTTAACAAGTCTTTATATATTACATATGTTTATATATATATATATATATATATATATATATATATATATATATGTAGCCACACATCTGCATCATTGTAGTTTAATTCTAGAAGAGTAGCAGTGCTGGAAAGGTTGAAAAGTGATGAATGCAGAAAAACATTTCAATTATTTAAAATATTACTACAGCTCAGCTCAGACTGCTTCTTCTGAAATAAAAGAAAAATCTCTCACAGATTGACGTCCATCCATTTAGTTTAATTTGCATTTTGGCATAAGAAAAAAATTGAACGCAACACAATAAGGGATACAAAATAAATAAGCATTCAGTAAACAGGTGAAATGTTCAGGAGAAGCTAAAAACATATCAGAAACATTTGGACTTTACCAACTGGTTCTCTCTCAGCAGACAATGTGTTTGTTGGGCACTAGCAATGAATACATATAATGGGGTAAAATTGTATTAAGCTGATAATAAGCGTTGCCTGGTGGATGATGTGTATGTCTAATTTAGTGGACATTAATGATGCAGAAAAGGGTCTCAGCTCATATTCTGCGAGGCTGGAGCGAGTTCACCATTTTTCTTCCATACAAGGAGTGACCGAAACCTGCAACAGCGCTATCCTCACTGTTACACATGGAGGTCACGAGGGCCAGCAATGCACTCTGTAACAATCTACAAAGTATATCCACCGATTAAGAAGATACGAGTCTTGAGTTTTCACTACAAAATCACTTTTTAATTTTAACTTTGAAGAAACGGGTCAGGTTTCTGTGCTTTGCATCTTAGCACCTGAAATTGCAGAAGGAGATAACTGCTTGAAAAATTCAAATCTCAGCACTCAGACACTCTGTGAAGTGAACCGCACGCAGCACACTCAGGATTATCTTCTCAGTCTGCCTGTCATGCTTTTAAACCAAAGGAAAACCAAAGAGATGAGAGCAGTGAGTCCAGATGTTGATGAAACGGTTGTATTTCACTCTGAATACTGGGTTCCAGACAGCTCTGGACTTTTTAATGATGAGTTTCAACTTGTAACACAAAAAAAAAATCACAAATTGGTTGTTCATGCAGTTTCAGAATTAAAGGCCAGAGGGCTGGTTTGTCTGATTTGAGGATGAGTGATAAGATAAGATGAGATAGACTTTATTGATCCCACAGCGGGGGAATTGTCTTGCAGCTGCTCAAGATACAAAAAAACGAGTGATAAATAGATCAGATAGAAAAGAAAATACACATAAAATAAAAATAAAATAGACGATAGAGATAGAAAATAAGAGATATAAACACTAAATACACCTTTTATACATACAGATATGTTTGATGGATCATTACACATAAATTATCTGCACAGATTATTGAATTAGTGGCATCAGCAGGTAGCAGTCAGGTGCTGGTAGGTTGAATATTGATCGTCATGTATATTTTAAAAAATGCCCTGAAAGATGGATGAAATCTCACAGATTACAGCAGGAGGCAGCTGCACAGGGTAAATAAATATAATTGCACGGGAAATGCAACTTCTTCTCCTCATGAATTTTGCACCCTGATGTTTGAACTTTGTTTAAAAAGTAATTTAAAAACCGCCTCTCAACTCAAATACGTTACATACATCTACATTCAGATGTCGATGCAGAGTTTAACACTCTAGAAGTCTGTTTTCATCCGCTGAAGGCAGAAAGTTTCTCTGTCCTCACGAGTTTGTAACATGTACAAGCATGATTGGCATGAGCCAATTGCGGTCCAGTATGAAACTTGAGAGTGGCAGAGAAACCTGACGCCTACATTACACAAACACTGACAATGGACAGAGAAAGTAGGACACAGTTTGCATCGATCAGGTAACTTCTGATGAATAATAATGCTTTCACATTAAAAGATTCTGGACTTTAGAGACTGCAGAAGGTGTAGGTGAAACCATATTAGAAGCATATTACTACGGTCCAGTGTGTAACATTTAGGAGGATCTATTGGCAGACGTGGAATATAATATACATAACTATGTTTTCAACAGTGAAAATAAGAATCATTATGTTTTTAGACTGAGCTGTTTTTTATCCACGGATGCTGAGTGCCATGTTTCTACAGTAGCTCAGGAGGGACAAACCAAACACTGGCTGTAGATAGGGGTGTTCACGTTTGTTTGGCGTGTTTCAAGGTCACCGTAGTTTCTCCCTCACGCTTGGAAAGGGAGGGTGAAGCGACGGGGCTGCAATCTGCAACTGCACCCCTACATGCCAGTAAATCCTACACACTCATATATTTAATAATGTTATAATTATCTTCATGTATCAGAGACCGTGTCTCAGTGACTCATTTTTTACCTGTTAAAAGACTTTTTGGGGAGTTTTTTTCCCCTCAATAGAAGGTCTAACAACACAAGGTGGTAAATAAATGAAACTAAATTTAAATCTGACTTCACTAAAGAGTATCATGTGTGTTTGGTTGTGCTCTGTAACCACACCCAACAGTGATGTCATGGCGTACTGATACACCTTGGAGTACACCTGAACATCACTGCAGCGAGGCCAGAGGTTAAAAAGGGTTTTTCAGCCAGCTCTGATGAGGGTCCCCGAACAGTTCAATGGATGAAATACATCTTAGATTGTGTCGACTGAGCAAATCTGCTGATTAATGTGACGTGGTTGAAGTATGAACTTTAACTTCTTTTTTTAAAAAACACATTATTGGTGTTATAACAGTTGTCCTGACCCTAATAGAGTTTAAATTACACATTATGTTGTGCCATATGGTTGTCCTGTCTCAATCGGGTAATACTGGGTGGATTTCTCTGCTTTTATTGTTTTATTTAGTAAAACAAATCTTCCAAATAACAGGAAACAGTGAGAAGCAGAAATCCAGGACTTAAGGGTGAAGTTGGGAAAGAAGGCAAGTACACACACACACACACACACACACACACACTGCATCCACATCAGATAAAAAGCTGCAAACATTTTAAATCCAGCAAACAAACTGAACATCCGGGAAAAATGTCTTATTTCTAGTCTTCCGCCCTTCAAACCCGGTAATGATGGATCGATCGGTGGATGCAACCAGTGGAGGAGAAATGTAAACCCCTTCGTTTTGTTGCATCGGAGGAGGGGTGGTAGTGGGTGAGGTGGTGGGTGAGGTGAGGGGGGGTTGTTTTTTTTTGTTCTCCCTTTCCTTCAATGACAGCAGGAGGCAGCCGGGTACGAAGTCTGCGGTAAGGACAACAACAGAAAACAACAGCACCTAGAACAAACAACAGGCAATGTGCGTGAGCCTCACATCAATGCGAATCACCAGGAAGGGAGAGAGAGAGAGAGAGGGGGGGGGAGGAGGGGGAGAACCGCACACAATACACAATGGTGTTGCCTGGGGCTGCCGCGATAGCTCTCAGACAAACCCGGGAGAGAGAGAGAGAGAGAGAGACTCACTCGCTTTTGCCTTTTTTTGCTTGACAGCTGCAGGGCCAATGGAAATAAACATGGGGGCCAGCTGCGCCGAGGCTGCAGCCAATGGAAGAATGTGCTGGATCCAAACGGTGAGGTTAGGCTGGGCTGTGGAGAGCACACACACACACACACACACACACACACACACCGCTGCTGCTGCTGCTGCTGCTCAAAAACTTACACCAAAATAAATATATATATATATATATTAACAAATAAATACATTAATAAAGGTTGTTTGTGTTTTGGCTGCTGCAGTGGCCATTTTAGGTAAGAAGCGCACTTTAACTTTTTTTTTTTTGTTGTTGTTGTTGTTGTTGTAGTGTGTGTGTGTGTGTGCGTGTGTGTGCGTGTGTGTGTCTCTCCGGCATCCAGACTGAATAAACTCTCTCTTTATGTGGATTAAACAGATATTGCGCGGAGTTCCTCCTCCTCCTCCTCTTTCCCTTCACCCCTCCCCTTCACCTCCCCATCTCTCTCTCTCTCTCTCTCTCCCTCCCCCCCTCTCTCTCCTCCCTCCCCTCGCCTGCTAATTTTTTATGCATTTTTCTAAACTGTCATGGCGATTTTGTGTCCTTGGAAATAAAAGAAGCGCCAGTGTGTTTTTTTTTTCGGGGCTAACCGGGAGAGAGAGAGAGAGAGAGAGAGAGGATGTGCCGCCGGTGAGAGCGTGTGTCCGGTGTCCGGAGCAGGTGAGCCGCCGGGGGGGGAGAAGAGAGGGTTTATCCGCGGAGAGATGTTCCCCGAGAAGGAGTTTAGCAGAGGCTTGTTCCACACGTGTAAGCAGAGAGGGGCAGTTATAATGTATTTACACCCCGCGATGCAGTGACATTACACAGCTAGCGGAGGGAGCTAGCGCGGTAGCAACCGGGCGCTAACGTGGGGGAAATAGGACACAGTGTCTCCGTCTGTGTGTGTGTGTGTGTGTGTGGGGGGGGGTTATTAATCTCCAGTCGGTGTTTTTGCTCACCGGGAACTTATTTTTTCTCCCCCCACCTCCTCCTCTTCTCCTCCTCCTCCCTTCTCCTCAACTTGTGGCAATCCGGTGCAACATTCAAGCTAGCAGTGCGTTAGCCTCTGCGACTAGCTAGCGTTCGTTAAAAAGAGGTGGAAGCTAGGTTGTGTTAGCCTGCTAGCTACCCCCCACCCACACTACCTACCCCCCCACCCACACTACCTACCCCCCCCACCCTCAATCTACCTTTATACGAAACATTAGCAGCTTTAGCAGTAAGGTATGTTTGCGGACACACAGGTGAGACATGCAGGTACAGTGATAGTGTCTGTTTGCCCCAGGTGTGTAACCCCCCCCCCCCCCCCCACGGGGCAAATAGACAAAGGGTGTCAGGAGCTAACCCCCCCCCAAAAAAAAAAAAAACCAGAAATCATTGTGTATAATTGGTTGAATGTGGATATAACTGTAAAAGGTGGATGTGTTTTTTAAATGATATTCTGCAGGATGTTTTCTTACCTGTCAGGATGATGTTGGGCTGGAAAACCTGGAAAACCTGGAAAATTTAAGAGTTTTCCAGTCATGGAAAAGACCTGGAATTTGGTTAAAATCCTGGAAAATAATTTATGTTCTGGAAATTGTATTTTAACTCCTCACATCAGCAAATCTGAAGTCAAACAAGATAAAATCGACTTGATTTGAACGGTGGCTGTAATGTTTTGGTGAGAGGGAAACCTTTGAACTGTAGTCACTCTGAGTGTGTGTCCCCACCGCTGTAATAACCCTGTAATAACCCTGTAATAACCCTGTAATAACCCTGTTATAACCCTGTAATAACCCAGAGACACTTCATCATTAAATAAAGAGGCCTACCGGTTAATAATAATAATCCTGTATTGTTCATGGAAAAGGATTTCTTGTTTGGAATAATATCAAACCTGTAATCTATAGATAGGAATGTATTTAACCGTCTAATCTTTAGACTTTATTGTAGTTCGGGATGAGCTGAAAGGTTGCTGGTTTGATTCTCAGGACCCCCCCCCCCCCACAGCACTGGGTGACCCGAAAGGTTAAACACCTCACAGGAAGAAGGCGCCCCGGTCTCTCTTTTGCATGTTGATCCCGTGTTGGTGCGTCTGTCCTCCCACGGCAATAAGACATGCAGCCCAGGCTATTTGAAGACTGTAATGAATGCGTCTGTCTGTCTCTCTGTCTGTCTGTCTGTCTGTCTGTCTGTCTGTCTCTCTGCCTACTCGTTCACTCATTGTGCCACTTTTTTTTTACCGCCTGCTTGCAGAACCGCTGCTGTACTTTGACTCCATCATCAGAAGACAACTTTTGCCCCCTTTCTTAAGTTGTTGAGACAGCAGCAGTTTATATATGTGTGTGTGTGTGTGTGTGTGTGTGTTATAACACAGGTAGTTAGTTCTACTTTATTACGTTCATTGAAGAATAATTCGAGGAGTCTTCTGTGGTGCTCGTGCTGATGCAGGAGGAATTACCTGATGGGATGAGATGTTTTCAGCTGCTGTTTGTAGAGAAAACAATGATATCATAGAAGCAACAGGGTTAAACACCAGCTAGTGTTGGCGTTGAACATGCGACCTTTCTGTTACAGCACACCTTTTTACTCTGCTGATCATTTGTTTGGTAATAATCTGTGTTTTCTTTAGTAGCAGTAGCAGTTTTTTGACAATTAATACACAAATTTGAAGTTCAAAAGGCAACTTTCTGTGCATTTAAAAAAAAGGTTTTTATGAGTTGTATGGTGCAGACGAGTCCTGCAAGTAGTGTTTAAACTTAAAGCAACGGTGAGACACTTAAGATCTTACAGGTGAATCTTTAAAGGATCCACCTGTTGTACAGAAGTGCAAGAGCAAAGCAAATGTTACATGTTTTCTACATTTGAATCGAGGTAACGTGTGATCACCTCCTTCAGGGATCGCAAACACTAATGTCAGATTCTTATAAGCAATGGCCTCTACGCTCCCTGTCCACTTTATTAGGTACACCTGTACTGTTTAATGCAGTCCAATACAGCAGATAGATACAGCCATGAATGGTACATATAAACTGAAACTGATATTCAGTTTTTGTTGACACTGTTGGAGATGTTTTAATTCAACTATATGTTTATTATTGGGGTTGTAGTTACGCTGCATTATACTGACACCAATACTGTTCCCCCCCTCATCCTTTAAAGGGGTTGGGTGAAACATTACAAACCCAATGGAGCAAACTACAACCTCAATAATAAACCTGTAGTTAAATGAATACCTCTCTGACAGAATCAGTCAAAACTGATTAATTATTATCTTTGTAAAGGTAGAATATTATGGCTCAACTGTTGAATTTAGTTGATAAATCACTGATTGAGAGTCGTTGCACTGCAGGAAAAAGTTAATGTTTTCTATAAAGCAGTAAAAATCTATAGTTTGCTACATAGATTTTACTGCTTTATAGAAAACATTAACTTTTTTTCCATGGCTAATCTTAACAGCAAACGTTCAGTAATTGAATACAACTTAATATTAATTTTGGTTACATTACAGTGAATGACTAATCACGATTATCATAAACGACATTGTATCTGAGCCTCAGTTTCATACGCCGGTCGGATGTCAGTCAAACTACAACTTAAGAAAAGCTACTGCCAGTTAAAGCTATTAAAGACACAGCTAAAATGTTTGTATTTGACGTGTTCTTTTGGGTCCCCTGAGCTGTTTCCAGCCACAGGTAGATTTAATCTTTTGCAGCTGTGATTAGCTCATTTGTGCATTGCACTGATTCAGTCAGAGCTATGGGATATTAAATTATCCATGTTTGCTCAGTACAGCTTACCTCTCTTGCCCTCAGCTTAGCATAAAGTACAGGTTATGAACTTCTTTTAAAATAAAATTAAAAAAAGTGAAATTGTCGACAGTATCAGCCATGAGAAGAATTTAATAATCGGTTGTCGGATGGAAGAAATCCATGTTGTGAATCAACAACAACAACAACAACGCTTAAAAATAAATTTTTTTCTTAACTAGGTGTTTAATTAACAGTTTAGTTAATTTAGTCTTTTTTCTCCTGTATGAACACACAACGCACTCAAAGCCTGCTTGGAACTGGTGTGTAGGATGGATTTGGGACACAGATAAAGACTCATGGACACGACAAGAATCAGTGAATACGTCAAAAAGAAATAATTAAAGTAGAAATAACGCCACATCTGCTATTTTAAGGAACTTTTGCTTAAAAAAAACCAAAAAAAACCAAGTGGAGCAAATGCAGATATTTAAGTTTATGCATCACAAAGCTAATTTATTTATAACTTTATATATATATATACATCTTTCCACCTTGCAGTATGTACAGTTCTGTGTATGCCCAACCAATCACTAGAGGCATACGGTACCATCAAACACCTTTTTCATTGCCATCTCAGATCTTTACAATTATAAAGGCGAGCCTGTATTGATGGTTTAGTGTTACGTTAAATCAACCAGAAAATTGAACAACTGCTCTAGTTTGTCTTAAATTACTGTAATCATTGCTTGAGTGATAGTCTTTCCAAATGAAGCTACAGAAGATTAGATAATAATAATACAAATTATAATAATCAGTATTTGTATGTCACGTCAGAAATATGTAGCACAGAGTACACGTGCATGTCTGCAGTGAAGTTACGGAAACTTTTTAGGCTGCTGATAAAGGCGAAACTTACAGCATCATACGTTCCCTTGTAGTCACCGCCCTTTCAGGGTTCAGTGTTCAGCTGCGAGTGTTGGCGGGGACAGGTGACTGTGTGGAATATTTTAACTTTAAAACCCAGAAATTACTGTAAAAATGCCACCCGAGTTTACACAGCAGGTTTCACCCGGGCAGACTGTGAAGTTTTGTTGTTTTCTAGCTAAAGAAACGTGGGGTGAGAGAGGAGAAAACTTTCCCCAGGAGTACACACACACACTGCTGTTAGCAAAGATGGTTTGTGTTATTTTTTTCATCTTCAATTTGTCACTTCTGTGGGTGGAGACAGATGAAATTTGTTTTAAGCAGACGGGGTGAATTTCAGTTTAGTGTCTCATTTAGTGTCAATCAGCATCTCAATTAGTTGTAATGGAAGGCTCCCCCCCCCGCCACACACCACTTGCTTTGTGCTTTAGTCTGAGAAGGCAGCTGTGCATTTACATATTTACATTAAAATATAAGTGAGTACAGACACAGCAGTTAACATTGTGGCCATCTGATGTTGGTAAAGATCAGAGTATAGCTCTGTTATAAAACCTGTTGAGTTCTAGTGGAGGTTGGATATTGAATGAAATGAATCTGGTGTCTTCTTTGGTTAAGCTTCGTCTCAATGACTGAACTAAATAAGCAGAATTGGTTAATTTGTTAGGCGTATTGTAATGTGCTTGAAAATAATCTTATTAAATAAGTGTACAGACGACAAACACAGCTAAATGAAAGACATTACCAAACCACTGGGTACGTGGTGAGACTGTTTTACACTTTGAAGGCACCAGTTGCATCCTATTAGCCTTTATATTCATATTATTGACTCGATTAATCGATTATTCGCCAATTATTTTGATGATTAATTAAAGGTCCAGTGTGGTAAATGGACTGTAATTTTCTATCACCTTTCTGGTCTTCCGACGATTCAAAGGTTTACACTGCATATCACATTCACCCATTCACACACATTCATACACTGATGGCAGGAGGTACTCGGGTGTAGCAAGTGAGCTGCCTTTT